AGACCCGCCTGGGCAACTTGGCGAGACCTCATCTCTACAATAAACCAAAAATTAGCCGGACGTGGTAGTGCACGCCTGTAGTTCCAGCTACTCCGAAGACTGAGGCGGAAGGATCACCGGAGCGCATCAGATCGAGGCTGCGGTGGCCGGGAGCGGCCACTGCACTCCAGTCTGGGTGACAGAGTGACACTCCAACTCAAAAAAAAAAATAGATTTCTTCTCAAAAAGGCTGGCATGTTTCTAAGAACAGTAAATAATGTAATAAATGTTTAGGGTATCATTTTGATTGAAAAAGTCTGGGAACAAAACAGAACATAAAACATGATCTTTATTTGTGATTATATTTACATGTCTAACAAAAATAGAGGAATATTGCCAAGGGTCAAATCTGAATGGAAGGTTGATTTCTCTTATGTGAGGGTTCGAGACTCGCCTGGGCAACTTGGCGAGACCTCATCTCTACAATAAATCAAAAAATCAGCCGGGCGTGGTCGCACATGCCTGTAATTCCGGCTACTTGGAAGGCTGAGGCAGGTGGATCGCTGGAGCCCAGCAGGTCGAGGCTGCGGTGGCCGGGAGCGGCCACTGCACTCCAGTCTGGGTGACAGAGTGAGAATCCAACTCAAAAAAAAAAAAAAAAAGAAAAATTTCTATGGGTGAGTAATAAAGTCAGGTATTTGACAGGAACAAAGATAAATTTTCTCTGTAAGACCAAAACTTCAACCTAACCACCAAGGAATTAGCTCAGATAAAATTATAAGAAAAGGGTTAGCTCAATATCAGCTTTCATAAAACACACAAAGAATCAGGTACAGTGGATATGAATCAGGATAAGTAGACCACAGAATTTTACTCGAACTTTGTCAGATATTGGATTAAACATCAGATTATAAAATAAAAGTTTGACATATCTTAATAAATAAAAAGAGCCTTGAAAACAAAAGCAAGGAAAATAAACTACTTTTTAAAGAAAGTAAAAAGTGAAAATAAAAGTTACTAAAGATGGAGAATATGTTACTTAAACTTAATTCAATAATCATTTAAATTGTAGTAAACTGCAAAATTGGAAAAACAAATTTATAGAATTCAATAATCATTTAAATTGTAGTAAACTGCAAAATTGGAAAAACAAATTTATAGAATGCACCACAGCAACACAAGGAAAAGGAAAATATAAATAAAATATTTAAAAGCATGGAGTATAGAATGAGAGGTATAATGAATATTTAATAGAACATCCTCATGGGAGTAGCAATGATGATACTTAACAAGATGTCTGACTCTGTAAAACAAAAGTCTTATGGTTTAGTTAGTATTGGTAAACAATGTAAGAAAATGGTGGTGTCAAATACTGCACGTACACACGAAATTAGATAACACTTAGAAATGTATCATTAAAAACATGTTAAAATTATCTTCACATGTGTAGCCAAGTCATTAAAGAAAACCTATAGCTTTTGTTACATTACAAAAGAAATGGACTCATCATTAATTATCAAAATATGTGATTTTAGAAATCAAAAAAACAAAAGCAAAATAAATGCAAAGATAAAAGGAGAAATCCAATAACAAAATGGTGAAAAAATGAAAATATGTAATTTAGAAGATATACAAAGCTAAATGTTGGCTCATTAAAAAGAGAAGAATGTAATGTCAATGGCAAAATTAATAAAAAAATCATCGTTAGAATGTATGAATAATTCAGATTAGTAATGAAAACACATAGAGATGCAGCAGTGCTAAATAGTAATGAAGATATTAATAACGTTTAGGATATTAATGACAGTAATGAACTGAAGAAATTCACAGAGAAAAATGGATTGATGAATAAAGACATAAAATACTCACAGTCATTAAAGGAAAGATTTTGACTCAATAACTAAAAGTCTTTTCCTGCAAAATAAATAAATAAATACATAGTAGGGCTATAGGGCTTAATATGCAACTTCAAACTTCCACAAACTCTTAGAGAAAAAAAAATAGAAAGATATAACAAGCTAGCATAAATTATAAACCAAAATTAGATGAGAGTAGTACACATATGAAAAATTATAGGACTACATTACAAATGTAAATGCAAGAAAAAAAAACTTAAGTAAAAACATCAGCAAATCTCATCACGAAATTTATTTTAACAAATGAAACAGGATCCCCAAACTAGCCAACTGAATTTTATTCCAAGAATCCAAGATTGAGTTCATGTTAGAAACTTAATATAATGAGAAATTTAGAAAATCTGATTTCTCTCAAATTGTACTGGTGTACTGGTCTGTTGAGATTTAATTAAACTTGTGAATTAATTGAAGAAAATTTATGTGTTTAAAATTTTAAATATTTTTATACATAACAAATAATTTTAGCCTATTTGTCCAATCTTTATCTATTGAATATTTATCTATTTATTCTTTTGTGTTGCTTGGTAGCATTCTGTCATTTTTTTCTTCACAAACCTTATCCAGTTTGTGATAGTTTTATTACTGGATATATGCAGTTCATTTTACATTTTGGTTTTGCTCTCGTGATATTTTTCTATCTCCAACATATTTTTAATACAGATAAGAACTTTATATATTACTTTTACATAAATTATCTTATTGTTTGATTGTAATAATATTCATTTGATTCTTTTGTGTTTTGTTATATAATGATAATAGAAATTAATTATTCTTGGTTTTTTAATTCTGATATATGTAGCTCTTATTTCATCATTTTCCATCTAGATGGTTTGGGAAGGCTTCACTTCTGTAGTTCTTCTCACTTTGAATGATATAATGATAATACACACATTGTTCACAATAAACAGGATTTGTACTAAAATAATTATTAACTCCCACAAACTATATTTTAATTCTTCTGATATGAATGAAGAAAGCAATCTATTTTATAGTATTTTGTATTTTAGATTTAGTAAGATTCACAGATAAATAATTTCTGCAACGGAAATGTTTCATATTATTTATTTATCATCCAAGATTTCCTTTGGGAACTTTCATTTTAAAATCAGATTTTCTTTTGTTCTTACCATTCTATGTCTAGAACATGAGGCCTACTTGAGAGATATAATAGAATTACAATGGCATCTGGAAAGGAAAGCTAACCAACTAGAACATCTTGAGAAACAAAAGGCAAGGTTACAAGAAACGAATGCAAAGATTCAAACAGACACAGACTACATGAATGAGCATATTCTTTTACTGGGCTCAAAGTGGAACAAGGAACTTAAAGTTCTGAAGGAACGTTATAAAAAGAAATTCGAGGTAGATGAATAAGTGAATAAATGTTTATTTCACAAGCTGTTACTTATGCAAAATTGTCTCTATCATGAGAAAATAAACATATCTTGAAAAGTTTTATTTTATTGAAAATTGTGCTGCTCTTTATCTATACATAATATAATCTGTTGGTGTTCATTTTAACCATTTCTTTGTCCCTTACCTTTACATTTAGAGTATTAATAATATTTAGTCAACCTACTAATAAAATTTTGGAGAATTTTTTTTTTAAACCTGGTAATTTTGTTTGTTTGCTTGTTTGTTTATTTGAGTTGTAGTCTCACTCTGTCACCCAGGCTGGAGTGCAGTGGTACACTCACGACCACCCCAGCATAGACCTGCTGGGCTCCAGCGATCCTTCCACCTCAGGCTTCCAAGTAGCCGGAACTACAGGCACGTGCTACCACACCCTGCTAATTTTTGATTTATTGTAGAGACAGGGCTCACCAAGTTGCCCAGGCTGGTCTCAAACCCGCGGGCTCAAGCAATCCACTTGCCTCAGCCTCCCAAAGTGCTGGGATTATAGGCTGAGCCACCAAGCCCTACCTAAAACTGGTATTTTTTAAAGCTGTGATTGAAAGGGAAAATGCAAGTAGAATTTATCAGTCAATTTCATTGTTGATGAAAATGTTAAATGAAGTAGAGATCAATTATTAAACATTCAACTCTCCTATTGTGGGATCACATTATATAAAAATAAGTTATTTATACATGCTACAAAATGAACAAATTTAAATCTGCTTATTTATCTTTAAACATTTTAAAGTAAATAAAACAAGTTGTTAAATGTCTCCTCGGTTCCCCTCAATAGCCCCATGTTCCTCCTTCCTTCACAGAAGACCTTTATTATGAATTTTATCTGTTTGTTAAGAAAATTTTGTACAATTTTACCTACGTGTGTGTTTATAAACAATACATAAGATGTTTTAAAGTGAAACAGTCTCATACAGTGTGTAATATCCTACAACTTGTTTTTTTAATCTGACATTGTTTTAGTTTAATCAAGTTACTGTTGATACATACTGTTTTTGTTAATTAAGCTACTATTGATACATACAGATATAGTTCATTCACTTTACTTGCCTTGCTCCATTAAATAGATATTTCAAAATTTAATTACCATTCTGTTTTCTCTTAAGTTGTTTCTTGTATTTGGCAACAAAATGCTGATTTTATTGTAAGCAATAATCATCCATGAATATGTTTCTCTGTATGTGAATGCAGGTTTTTCTTGGATCCATACCTAGTGAGGGTATAAACTGTGTCATGGGTTATATACATTTTTTGTTTTATTAGATAATACCAAGTTACTCTCCAATGTGCCTCTAACAATTTATATGGCTGTAGTAGTAGCATTACTTAAGATTTCTAATTTCTCCATTGTGGGCAAAAATGCTAGTACTATCTTTCTTTATTAGTAATAGATTCCTATGTAGTTTGATGGCAATGTGTCTGGTTAAAAGTTAATTCTTATTATTCTTTTCTCATAGTGTTTTTAATGAGGTATATGTAGGGATTATTGACTGATATTTCTGGGAAAGCTCTTTAAAATCGACTGACTTGACCAGAAGTAGCACCCTTTTGTAATTAGCCATTTTCTAAACTTTTAACATTTCAGATATGATAGCTGCAGCTTTAACTCCATTTTACAGCATAAAGCAACCTTAAGAATGGAATCACAGAAACAAATGAGTACACATGTTCTCACTCATAAGTGAACCCTGAGCAATTATCATAATAATATTTAAAAGGTATTGGCAGCCGGGCACGGTGGCTCAGCCTGTAATCCTGCGCCTTTGGGAGGCTGAGGTGACCCGGGCAGTGAGACCTCATCTCTACAATAAATCAAAAAATCAGCCGGGCGTGGTAGCG